GGGCTCCTTAGTCTGTGTAAAATGGGAATGACAATACTGAACCCATCTCACAGGATGATTGTGAAAACTTCATCAATCAATACAGGTAAAAGACTTAAAACAGAGTCAGGCACGTGCTAATTGATCTATAAGGTTGACATTATCATTATCAGTAATACAATCACACATTCAGCCACCCAGTCAGCCAGCCAGGTGCACAAGACTGACACCCAGGGAACATCCTGAGTTCCCTCACCCCTCCAATCCAATTCAACCCTAGGTTTCTACCTCTCAAGCCTATCATGTTCTGAGTATTTTCCTCCATATTCACTGCAGACTGCCACCGTTCCATCATCTCACCTGACTGATTTGACTGCAGTCATTTTTATCATTTTCCCAAATTTTCTCCATGTACTAGTCACAGTGAACTATTTTAACCCCATATCTGTGGTTACCATCAGGTTTGCTTCCCTGTTCAAAGATATTTAGCATCTCACGTCATTTGCCCTCTGCCCTCCATAACCACATTAACTACTTCCTTTCAGTTCTTCAACTGAGCTATGTTCTTTCTTGTCACAGGTGCCTTCCACCTCTTGTTCCCTCTGCTGGAATGTTGGAAAATATTCCCATTTCTCTTAGTCAAATTAATTCCTATTGCTGTTAGGTACCACTGAATCAATTCAACTCATAGAGACCTCGTGTGAACAGAATAGAACTTCCCACAGTTTTCTTTACAGAAAGGAGCCCCGGTGGCAAAACAGTTAAAAATTTTGCTCTGCCAACCAAAGGTATGGCAATTCACTACTTGAAGCTCTGTGGAAAAAAAGGACCTGGCGATCTGCTCCCACAGAGATTTACGGCCTTAGAAACCTACAGGCAGTCCCACTCTATTTTATAGTAAGGAGCTCTGGTAGCATAGAGGCTGTTAACCTCAAGGTCAGCAGCTGGAAACTACCAGTGGCTCTGCGGGAGAAAGATGAGGCTTTCTGCCCCCATAAAGATTTACAGCCTCAGAAACCCTAGACAGGGTCACTATGAGTCGGAACCGACTCCACGGCACACAACCCCCATCATCCATCATGCACTGGAATTGACTGGATGGCACCCAACAACAATCTTTACAGGAATAGACTGCAGCTTTCTCCCACTGAACTCCTATGTGGGTAGGGACCGCCAAGCTTTCAGTTAGCACTCAAGCACTTAACCACTGTGTCACCAGGGGTTCTCATCCTTTATGAAAGCCCAATGATTACATCTTTGATCCCCCTCATTACTCAATATATCTTTCCTTCAAAGTACTCATCCAAGTTGTGATTTCACAGTATAGGACTATTCCCCCCAATGGAATTTAAGCTCCAGAACAGCAATGACTAGTTCTGTTCTTCACTGTATGCTCACTCAGTGCCTAAGACAGCATCAAGCATATAAATGGACCCCAGGAACATGTACTGGATCAATATTAAACTTTCAAGTTCAATGTTGCAAACACAGCCTCACTACTATTTTAAAACAGAGCAGATTTACACAGTACATGGATAGTACATCATCAGTTCATTATCAGTGTGGCTCTAGACTAAAGTTGTTTCTCCATTGATAGTTGTGAACAGTAAATCACTTTAAAAAGATGTATACAGACTCAGCAATAGCTAATTGTGGCAGAAGGTGTACTGTTTTAAAGAAGGGTCAAGAACTACATGGAAACTATATTTCATACAGAGAGGAGACTTGTTCTAAGTTCTGGTTCTCACCCTGTGTTCTATACCAATGCAAACTTACTACAACTGCTACTGCCACTATCCCAGTCAGTACCTGCAACTACAGCACATTCATCACCGACTAGCTCACCACAGCAGGAATTCCCAAACAGGTAGGAAATAGAAGAGCTGAGAGTAATGTGAAATAGCACCATCTCAAAATACATGATACTTGCCCCTAAATATAATTTGTGGAATGTAGTTGTCACATTGTTGTTGTCAGGTGCCATGGAGTTGGAACCGACTCATAGCGACCCCATGCACAGCAGAACGAAACAATGTCCGATCCTGGGCCAACCTCACTACCGCTGCCACACTTGAGTCCATCAATGATGCCACCTGGCTGATCCATCTCGTTGGGGGTCTTCCTCTTTTTCTCTGACCCTCCACCCTACCCCGCATGATATCCTTCTCCAACGACTGTTTCCTCCAGACAATATGTCCAAAGTAGGAGAGACGAAGCTTAGCCATCCTGGCCTCCAAGGAGCACTCTGGCTGCACTTCTTCCAAAACAGATCTATTGGTTCTTTTGGCAGTCCATGGCACTTTCAGTATTCTCCTCCAACACCACAACTCAAAGGCATCAATTCTTCTACGATCCTCCTCATTCACTGTCCAGCTTTCGCATCCATATGAGGCTATTGAAAACACAATGGCCTGGGTCAGGCGCACCCTAGTCCTCAAGCTGACATCTCTGCTCTTCAATACTTCAAAAAGTTACTGTGCAGCAGATTGGCCCAGTGCCCAGTGCAAATTAGGTCATTTAAAATTAACTTAGAAATGTAACTTACAATTTTTTTTTTGCACCAAAACTACTTCCCTAACTAGTAGATTTATCATTAAAGCTAATGGCATCTAAAGATACAGTGAGTGGACAACAGAAGGGGCAATCTGAAAGGATACCCACCCACTGTCATCAAGTCCATTCTAACTCACAGAGATCCTAAAGGAAAGAGGAGAACTGCTTCTTAGGGTTTCTGAGACTTTCAATCTTTAAGGGAGCCGACAGCCTCATCTTTATCCAGCAGAGCTGCAGTTGGTTTGAACTACTGACCTTGTGGCTAGCAGTCCACCATTTAACCCACTACACACACCACCTGAAAGGATACTCAAGACCAATTTAACTATATTCTAAATAATCCACACTGATTTTAATTATATTAAAATATTTATTATAGTAACATGGTTTGAGGTATTCATTTAGAAAACCACTGACTTATGGTGTATATTTGTTAAATCAAATGATAATTATGTCTTAGCATCTATATACTTTAATCAATATAACTGTATAAATTTGACAAAAGGTAAAGAAATTTTCTCTAAGAATCCAGATATCTGAAGATTACTGCAACTCCTGAAATTATGCAGAAATACAATAAAAAGGGATGAGCTTTTTACTTCAGCAGCACACAACGATTCCCTAAAAGGTGTAAAAGTTACTCAATTAGGAAAGATTAGCACTGTCCACTGATAGGGCAACTATAGCTGACAATGCAAGTAAGCAAATCAAAAACAAGACAAATCAAGGAATTCTTTCTCCCGCCACACTTTTAAAGACCTCAAATCAAGGTTTACAAATATGTTGAAAAAATATGCATACATTGTGATGCCCAAGCATTTCTTATTTTGAGAAATAACGCCACCTACTAAATCAGGACATGAAGTCAGAATATGTAATTACAATTTCTGGAGGGAAAAAAGAGCATGCATAATTTATTACAGCTTTGAATACTCATCTATAATGTTTACAGAGAAAAAAATATATATATTGAGCACCACCTCCTACTCACAGAATGATCCTTTATCCAAAATTAGATTTTAAACCTGACATTAGGATATCACTGTTTAATGTTTCTTCCAGTCATTTAAAAAATAAATCAGGTAATTGCTTCATTTTTTAAAAAAAGCTACTTATCCTCAGAAGATCCTTCCAGTTGTAAATAATATAAATGTTCTCATGCGGCAAAAACTACTCTTTTTTTTTATTATTCAAAGCTAAATACCATTCCTATAATTGGATCAAATGCATTTTCATTACCTGAAAAAATAACTGTCTTCAAGAAATTACCACTAATCAAGAAATTAAGAGATAAACTCATTTATCCAGATTACAACGATCATATCAACACTTTCATTCTTACCCTATATTGATCTTGTCCTAGTCTCAATTATTATAAATTATTATAAAGTGTAGCAGCAATGGTTTCTTAGGAAAACTAATATTCAAAGAGCAAAGTTCTTTTTTTTATTATCCCATTTTTATCTACTTCTTAATGAAAGACCCATTTTCATTTAAATTGCCTAAGTAGAAAACGCCTTTTATGTAATTATTGAATGTTACTCTATCATGATTTCCAAATGTTTTAATTATATCCCAATTTCACTTTCTGTACAATATAAGGTTTTTGGTTGTTTGGGGGTTTGTCTGGACTTTGGGGGGAACCACCACGACTCACTCACACCCACCCCAAGATTAGAGACTAAAGCAAATAATCACTCTTTATCCAGTCTCAAAAATAAATCCAAACTTCAAGAAATACAGTAAAGTAAATATACACAAAGCTCAATGTTTAGACGTCACTGAATAACTGCAGGGTGCTCTGGGGATGACTGACTGTAAGTTAAGAACAAACTGTGGATGTAAACGGAGAAAGGTAATGATACCATCGTATTTACCCCACCAAATGTTCCTAAGAGCTTTGATCAAATTCCTCTAAATAGTTCACGCATGCAAAGAAGAGTGTGACTGCAACCACAGACGCTGATCTGGAATAGTTAAAATAAAAATTATCAGGACTGTGTCTGACGATATGCAAACCAGTTTTATCAACATTTATCAACGTCTCAAATGTTAAAAGGTGAACTAGGGTATTCATTCTTATGACAAAGAATCTTTGAGCTTAAATCAGGTTTATTCATGTAACATGTACAAGGTTGTTGTCGTTAAGTGCCGTCGAGCCGGGTCCGACCCATAGCGACCCTGTATACGGTTTCCGAGGAGTAGCTGATGGATTTGTGTAAATTTGTTCGTTTCTTCCTTGTTGAGCTATTAGGACCCCAAGAGACCCACTTCGGTCAGCGACCTCATTTCTTCCCCCATTTCACCTAAATCCTTTCTTCACACACATACATTCTCCCATCACATTCATCGCCAAAGTACCCCAGTAGGCGGTTTTCTGGAGTCATTTCAGTGGTGACTCTAAATGGGATCTGACGCCACCGGGCAGTCTGGGATTGTATGTGGCCCCGCCAGCACCCGCAGCTCACCTCTAGCTTGTGGTTGATTTGAGACACAGTCTGAGCTTTATGGCAAAGCTGCGCAAAGCAAGAGCTCAGGCTGGTCATCTTCTGTCGCCCCTCATAAGTGATGTCCGCCTGGTCCGGATCGATCTCGCCCAGGAGGAGATCCACATCCACGAAGGCTTTATCGAACTCCTTCTCCAACACCTCCAGCCACCGGAACATGGATACACCGCCCGGGGAGACCCCCACGGTGCAGGAGGTGCCCCCTGCGCCCCCACCGGCCCCCGCCGGGCACGGGCCGCCAGCCGACATGGCGCCGCCTTAGGGCCTCCCCTGCCTGCGGCTGACCCCCGCTGCCCTCCCTGGGCGAACGGAACTGCTGGGACTGTGGGGACCCCCCGTGCACGCACGTTCCGTCGCACCCCGTCCTTCCCTCGCGCGACTGACGCCGGCAATGCAGCACCAGAGTGGCAAGAGCAGCAAGGTTGAGGCGGCGGCGGTAACACACGGAAGAGCGGAGACCGTCCCACCTCCGTCCCGCTGTCACTGCGCATGCGTAGCAAGGAGCGGGTGGACGCGGCCGGGGAGAAAATGGGCGGGGCTAGGATGCGACCTTGGCCTATGAAAGGCCTCTGCTTGAGACCAGCTGTCAGCGGCCATCTTGACAACTGGCAAACTCCAACTTGGGTTCCAGAGAAACGAGCGCGTGGTGCCGGCTTCCAAGTTGGAAAGAGCCCACGGAGAGAGGGTATCCACGTCGCAGAAAAGAACAGCTTCCGGTGACTTGACTTCACAGTGGGCGGGAGCTGTTCTAAAGTCCGAGAAATTTGCTGCAGTGACCTCCCGGGGCAGGGAATGGAGCGTGTGGATGGGTAGTGTGAGCATGCGCAATGGCCACGTTTTACCTTTTCCTTTCCAGTTCCTGTTTAGGGTGGTTGGTGGTCTTCTTTTTGTTGGGTGCCATGAAGTCAACAGTGTTCTCCCTGCGCCGCCCTCACAATTGTTATGTTTGAGCCCATTTTTTGCTGCCACTGTGTTAAACTATCTCAAAGAGATCTTCCTCGTATTTGCTGACACTCTACTTTACCAGGTTTGGTGTTCTCCGGATTGATCCCTCCTGATAACGTGTCCGAAATAGGAGAGACTAGTATCGCCACACTGGCTTCCAAGGAGCATTCTGACTACTTATTCCAAGGCACATTAAAATGCACCGATTCTTCTCTGGTCTCTCACATATATATTGTTGTTGTTGTTGCTAAGTGCCGTTGAGTCGATTCCGACCCATAGCGACCCTGTATAGGGTTTCCGAGGAGCAGTTTATGAGCTTGAACCACCAACGTTGTAGTTCAAATGGCTTTGCAGTGTAGCACATTAACTCACAGCGCCACACGAGGACTCCCACATGTATATTGTTGTTAAGTGCCATCGTGTCAGTTCCGACGCATAGCGACCCTGTATAGGGTTTCCGAGGAGCAGCTGGTGAACTTGAACCAACGACCCTGCAGTTCAAACAGTTTTGTAGTCTGGCGCATTAACCCACAGCACCACACCAGGACTAGGTTAGGTTATGGAAAATACCATGATGAGTCAGGCGCAATTTAGTCCTCAAACTGACAACTTTGGTCTTTTAACACTGTAAAGGGTCTTCTGCAGCATATTTGCCTAATGCAATACTGAGTTGGATTTCTTTGAGTGTAAAGTGTGTCTCTTGTTGACAGCCTATAACAGGATCCGATTTTCTTAGCCATTCTCATATTCTCTGTTTCTTGGCTGGTGCGTTTAATTAATTGATGTTAAACATAATTATTAATAGGTATGAATTGATTTCAGTAATTTTGCTGTGTGTTCTTTTTGTGTGTGTGGTATTGCTGATTTCTTTGAACCACATTTTTTCCTGTGCGGAGTTCTTTTGTGTATGTGCTTGTCAATTTCTTCATAGCTTTAATGTTTACAAAATCTTCATGAATTTTCCTTTTCTTGATTTGATGTGACGTTTAACCTTGATTCTTGGAGGTTAGCCTGTAATATATTAATTTTTTCTTGAAATCTACTTGACTTCCTGGCCGTTTGGTGTTCTGTAACTATACTTTTCACTCCTTTGGCTCTGTAGTTGCCTTCATTATAGATTGATAGCTCTGATTCCTTGTCTTCAGTCTTGTAGTTTTGTTTAACACTGGATGCTTCTATATCTGGATTAAATTCTGGATGCGCTGCCATGTATGTCAGTCTACAATTTTGTTGCCTGATGTTGGTTCTCAATCCAAAGAACTCCCTTTAGTATTTTTTTTTTTTTTTTTTGATAAATTGGCTTGGCTTTACAAATTTCTTTCATTTCTGTGTATTTGGAAATGTTCTAATTTCCTCAAATGTCCTATTTGAGGAACCATTTTGCAGGTTATATGATTCCTGGTTAGCAGTTTCCTTTTTTCTTTTTCTTTCAGAATTTTGTAAGTCTTCTCATTGCCTTTTTTTTTTTTCCGTTGTCTTTTTTTTTTTTTCTTAAATGTTTTATTGTGAATTATGTGATAGTTTACATGGGAGAACATTAATTTTACATTCATTCTATCTTATATCATCTCATTGCCATGGTTACCCTTCCATACATCATCAACCAACCAAAGGGTATACCCTGCAATCCTTC